CTCCGAGTCGGGAATTATCGACACATATAGTCATGGACGCTTTGTTTAAGTAAATGAGAGCCAAACTTTTCTTTTCCGTTACGCAGTTAATCCAGACATCCAGGAACTTCGGGGTTTATTCTGGGCACATCCCGTAACCGCCGAGTTGAATCGGTGCCACCATGATGTTCTGGACTGCACCTACAAAATCAACCAATTCAAGCTACCGCTTTTCAATATTATTGCTGTGCTCGCGTTCAACACTGTTGTGGGTAACGGGCTCACATCTGCGTGTAAGCTTGCCCTCACACAACCAGATGCGGCCGAAGCGACGGCTGCGTCAAGTATTTTCCCGGGCCTTGTAGTAGCGTATCTCAGGTCAGGATGGAGATGTAGCAAGAGTAGCGTCTTGTTGCGGTCTGGGTTGTCTTAACAGATGTGTTTCACTTCCGACGACGTCTTCCGGTCAAGTTCATGTTCAGTCATGGGGTTTGTCCGTGGTCATCCGGCATTATCGGTCCACCTCTCGTTCTTCGTAGCCCGTGTCCTGTTATCACAGGACGCTTCGACGGTATTCTTTTACGTGTCCCTCATTACGGGCACAGGGTGTTGAGGGTGAGTTTACAACCTAGTCCAGACGTCGGGGGCCGCGCTTATTGAGCCGGCTCTACTTGTCGAGCGCTGAAGGGTCTTGAGACGTAGACGCGCGAAGAGGTCTTAGGGGTTCTGTCCCACCAGTAACTTAGGGAAGGTTTTTGCACAACCAAGAATATTCGAAACTTATCCTATCCTGCCTATCCTATCCACTGGCTATTAACATTCGTCTCAAGGTCGCACCCTGCTACAACCCTAATACCCGCGGTACCTCTACCTGAGTCATAATACGAACCGCGGACCGGCCAGATCGGGGTTCGTCATCGGCTAGATCGGGCCCGCCTCAAGCTTGATCGGGGTTCGTCGTAGGCTAGATTGTGGCCGTTGTAGGATTGATCGGGCCCGAGATGGAGTCACTGTTTTAGAATGTCATCTTTCGATGACAATATGAGGCGACTCAGAGAATAAGATTGCTCGTCCATTGTCGGTCCTTTCCCGTCAGCCGCTCGCGTCGATCTCCAACTGCCGCATCATGCTGCCGGACATTTCTGGAGCACTCCACCACATCCGTTCCACCGGTATTTCTACGCACTTCCCACATGAGTAGGTAATAGCGGAACCAATTGTGTTTTGCACACACTAATACATTACGCTTGCCCCTTTGATCTAGTTACTTCCAGCTTAATGTCGAGCTCCGACAAGTCAGAGCGTGCCCAGCGCTGGTCGCCATACGCAGCTTGTGCTTCCAGCTCCGATGGGTCCATGCGCGAATTTGGCATTGACGACTTCTTCCCGACCAATTTCCTGTGTGCGCCACTGGTTTTAAGCACCCGTCGATACCTCCACCAACTTCAGTTCAAGTACTCACCGTTGGTGGTTTTATTCCGTCGGTGGACGCGCTCGACCGAGACTCAACTGCCCTGGAGGATGATGTTCATGTACTTCGCCGCGGCTGGAGATCACGACGGCTCTGAATGCCGGTTGGCAGCGCATGCATCCGTGCTTCACAAAGAGCTGGATACCCTGCTGGATCGTGCATGGGAAGGACGCCACATAGGTCCCGACCGCGTCGATCGTCTCACCCGTGAGGTTGAGACGGTCAGACTCTCCGCGAGTTGCGGGATGAGAATGTGGGACTTCGGGCTCATGATGTGCGCTACCGAATGGAAAACACAGTATGACAACCGTTGCCAGACTACGGTCGACGAGGCCGCAGCTTACCAGGATGCGCAGGGGCGTCCTTTTATTCATCCCCAAAATGTATCCAAATCCCCCTAAATTCCCCCAAAAGCCTTCTAGAAAATAAGGACTAAAAACCCTAGTTTTTATAAAAAAATATGTTTACAGATCCCAATTTTTTCGAAACATTATTATATTTAACTGTGTTAAACATCAATATAAGAAAGTTGTGAATGGATTTGGTTATTGCATAATTCTTTAAGTAAAACTAGGTACTGTTAGAGCCTAACGAAACTTGTGAATTGCCAGATACTCGATGACGTGAGTATGACGGCGAGGATCGACACGTGAATATCGTGCTGCGTCTTCCGATAATGAGATGATTCCTGCTTGATAACGCCTACAAAATACTGAAGAGTAGGATGAGGTGTGCCACCACAAGACTCTTAACTCATTGGGTGGGAAATTCACGTTGGAGAAACAAGTCGAAACGGCTGAGCGTGAGTTCCCCGCCCCCACCCAGTGGACAGCCTACCGTAGCAACATCGACCCGTTCGAACACGTTCTGAAGAAAGTTCGTGATCAGCTCAAGCCAGATAGCATCCACCGTAGAAACCTCATCCACTCTACTGTGACCGAAATACTCCTCTAGGGTAATCCCAGCGGGACTTCTATGTTCTTCTACAATGCGTTTTCCTTTCGCTTAACCAATCAATATCATCCTCTGCATTCCATCTTCCTTGACTACGTTCTCTTTATCCATGTCGTTACACATCCGACAAATTCACTAAGAATACCACTTACCATTGGGATTCTTGACTCCACTCTGACTCCACTCAAAAATGATCACATCCTAGAAAGATCCATCACGACACGCACCTCGACCGAGTATCATCACTCAGCCGTGTGGCCTGGCCAGACATTGCAGTCCGACTGCATATAATCACCCCAGCCCTCACAGCTTTGGATGGTCGTCTCCAGTCTGCATGGCTTGGAACCGTGGGCGGGTTTTCGCGCTTTGATTGAACTCATAGAGCAGGACACCACAGCTCAACTGAGCCAGACAATGGCATCCATTCTAATTCATTGTAACCTCTCCACTTGATGAGATATTCGCGGTTACGCTTGGAAGTGCGAGTCCGCTTGTACCAACGCAGGTCCAAAATTGCCGCGACTTCATACTCGCTGTTGATGTTGGCCACCTCTCAACTGTCCTCTGACAGCATAGTTGCATCCGGGGCGTCGTCATCATAGATCTCCAACCGGGTTGTCGGCCGTTTGGGGGAACAGAGTTGAGGCTTGCGTCAGCTGATGTGTATCCATGGGTTCACACGGTAACCCGTGTCGTCGTTCTTGAGTTTCACACGAAAATCGTCGGTCACCTCAGCGATCCTGATAGGTTCATGCCCAAGGTGAGCTAGCTTGCGACTCAATCCCGGCCGGACTTTCGGAATGTATAGCGATACTGCATCTCCGACCGAAACGCCTGCCTTGATCCGATCCGACATGGCTCTCCATTTGTGAGTTTGCGTGATGGCTTTTCGCTGCAGGTCTTCTGCACATGCTTGATCATAGCTGTAATCACACTGCAGATTTCTCCGCCACTCGTACGCGGTTCGCCCGATGACACCAGATGACTTTGTCACTTACATCGTCCCTTGGGTTCCAATCGTGTACCAGATAAAATGGAATGTCCAGGTGAGTTCCATCAAAAGAAGTATTCAGCGCAAACATCAGGCGTCCAGCGTGATCGTCCCAGTCGGACCGATCTGCCTCAGCCACGTATACACGCACACTTCGAATCCCCGTCTGAACCAATCGCTCCTGGTGGCCATTCGCTTAGAGTCTACAGGCTGGGGTGGCTCTTTGTTTGCCCCCAGCAATTCTCTAAAACGCCTGAACACTTCGCTCATCAAACTGGGATCTTGGTCATGGCGGATCTCTGAAAGACGCGTTCTTCATACACCTCAGCCACTTCTTGTGCAGTGGTTGAGTTCATCGGCTTACACATGGCATAACCGGAGAACATATCCTGAAAAAGCAACAGATACGTGCTACCCCGGGCGGACTCCAGCAAAGTCCATAGCGACAACCTCGAAAGGGCGAGCTGGTTCAACATTTCCGGGCGAGGGGCCGTGGTTGGGGGGGGCGCCCCTTTCCACTGGCACAATTCACATACCCCTCGACGAACGTTTCCCCACCCGCGTACACTCCATACCAATAGAAGTTCGACCGTAGTTTCTGATGTGTACGCGTTATGCTCTGGCGACCCCTTGAAAATCTTCGTGAGCGTTGTGCAGCATGTCCAGCCGGAACTGCCAGTTGTAACATGTCTGTCTGATCTCTTGACCGCCCCTGGGCGGAGTGGTTCAAACTGAACAATACATCTCGACTGTCCAACACGAGCAAGTCAACTTCCTCCAAAAAAACGACGTATCTGCGTAAGCGAGAAACTATCCACTTCACGTCGTAAGAATTTCTCGATGTTTAACAGACGGTGGTCCTCACCTACATTCTCCACCTTTTAGCTTGATACTCCAATGGTCCCTTCGGGTCACTCTGACTGGGGTCCTCGCAAGCGCGACACCGGGTCACGGCCTCCATGACTGTAACAGGGGTTAGCAGGGGCGCGGACTAGAGTCCGGGTTGAACCTCCACAAGTTCGCCGGGTGGTATCTCTCGAGTGGGATCGTAATTTACGTTTGGATCCGATACGACTACCGGCTTCATCAGCTCCAAGTTCGTCATCGCGGTCGGTTCAGTCACGGTTCACGACTCTCCAAGCGCCAATGTCTTCGAGGTGAGATAGTCTGTTGCCGGGTTGTATTATCGCTTGACATACACCAGCCGGACTGACTTCAATTTCTACCGTACTCGGCTAGTCTCTGTTGAAGCTTGGGCTGATTACAGTTTATCGGCCCTTGCACTTGCTGTATTACGATACGCGGGTCTCCGACGACGATTACATCTGGGATATTCCGCTCGGCTACCATGACCAAGCCCTCGAGCAAACCATGGTTCTCTGCATCGTTGACGGTGACGTCTTCAAGCACAAAACTTTGGACCGTCACTACTTTCCAGCCGGAGATTTTCCATAGGACACACCCACAGCTGCCTTAACGCGTAGACGTCTTGGCGGCACCTTCGAAACGCAACACATAACTGTCGAAGTCCGCCTTCAACATCTCCACGCTGATAACCGGTTGGGGGTTTACCCGCCCCTTGAGAGGTATCAGGGATTCGACTACTTAGTCCAAGTGCTCACGTGGGGTGATGCCTGCTCCCATAATAGCGGCTAACCCGTCTTCGTCGCTCTGGATGATGTTAACTTCCAAATGCCAATGGGGCAAGATCACTCCCCATCTGACACATCGTCCATTGGCGCTCTTGGCCTTTAACAGCCAGGACAGGGCGGAATACTGGACATCCCCGAATGAGATTCCCGAATACGTCCAGTACTGGCATGATCGCACTCACCTACTTCTCTGCCTCGTGGTACCTAATCTCAGTCTCCTTCAGCACCCGACCTAAGAACCACATGGGTAGGATCTTTCCATCGTACTCTTGCTCAAGGACGACACATGCCACCCAGCGATTCGCATGTGGATTGATCATGAACGGCTTGTTCTGGTCGTGGTGACGCAATAGAGGTGTAGACACGATTTTCCGCTTGAGAATCGCAAACGACTCCCTGGTTCTGGACAAATCATTTCCAGCCTTGACCTTCTCATCAGTCAATTCATGGAGTGCTGCCGCCATAACAGAGAAGTCCTCGATGAGCTTGTGGTAATAGTTTAGGCTCCTCAAAAAGATTGTACTCCTTTGCGCGTAGTCGGGAACGGTAACTCCTGGACGGACTTCACGGTCTTAGGCATAGCTCTAATACTCTCGGCAGTGATCGCATGAGAGAGGTACGGAATGGTGAGCTGGCCGAACTCACTCTTGGGAAGGTTGACAGACATATTCCAATAACGTAGTCGCTATAGCAGAGCGTTCAGACCTTCGCATAACTGACCACAGGTGGGCGCCCCACATGCTATGTCGTCGATATAGGAACTCCGTCCGAGGCCAGGGCCCATCTGCAATGGCGCGGGAATATTCCGTTTGAAGGCCGTCATCTCAGTTTTCAGGATAGGCACCTCTCGAGCAGACTTCTTGCGCTGGACTTTGTCTCCTTCAGCTGGGTCCAACCTAGGAACCTTAGAACGTCTGCATCCACCGTCTTCTCTCCCTCTGGTGGTAATCTGACGAATCCCCACAGACTGTTCTGGATCATCTCTTGGTATATCAACGGGTCATTTTTGAGGCCAAACGGCATTCAGATCCATTGGAAATGTCCAACGGACACACGAACGCCGATATCCGTTTGGCTCGCTCGGTCATGCGTATGTTCCAAAATCCGCTGGCCTTGTCTAATGACATGAAGCACATGGCTTGCTGGAAACCCACCAGGAGATCGTCGATCGATGCCAATGGGTAGTTCGACAGCTCAATGAAATTGTTCACGAGACGATAATCGATACACATGCGAATGTCTACTCGATTCTTCTTCAGGACAACCACGATAGGAACAGCTAACCGGAATCAGACATCTCGATGAGTCCAGATTGTAAGGGCTTCTTCATTAACTCGTAGACCTTCATTACGACTTTGGGAATTATCGATTTTGGTCAAAGCGCCACATGTTTCGCTCCTCAGATGTCGATAGGACATACCTCGCCCCGTGCTGGGGCAGGTGCTGCATTTTCATCACCCAAGAAGATTTTGGAGTGTCGCCTGATTTCATTTTTCATCTGCTCTTCTTCCGCTGGAGTAGTCTACCAGGGAACTCCCAATCTGCCTAGAAGACATCACACTCAGATGTGAGGTCGCCCAAGTCGGGTAACATCATGAGGTCATCACGTAACTGAGACATCATTTCGCTTCCCTCATGGATGTAGACATCAGGTTGTATGTCCAACTCTTCTTGCGTAGCCTTCACCACTCGGATGTACGCTGTCTCCAACGTCTGAACAGAAGTCCGCTCGTGGGCTCGGCCCCAGGAGTCAGGTGAGATTCCTCTATCGATGGGGTTGATCCGTCCGCTCTTTTCCGCAGGGTCAGGAGACCCTTCAGATTCTGGTTCGGCTTCGTGTTCTATCCGCACTCTGTTGTGACTCGCATACAGGATGTTCTCATACTTGTTCTACCATCTGGTGTCTGTTTGCGTTGATGCGTCGCAAGCCTCACCCGTTTGGCTTTCCAACATCTGAAGTCATTTTGACTGTGCGCCTCTCTGTCCCTATCCGGTCGGATCTGACCTGGAGACAGGCAACACGGGCTGTGGTGGCTACTGGCACATGACGCTACAACTTTGAAGGCCATCGATGCTCTGTGGCTCGTACACAAGGTGGTCGCAGGGAGTCTTCGAGCTCGGTCAACTTCTGTTCATACCTCCATCATTCAATGGACTTAATATTCTCGTAGATCAACTGCTGCCACTCCTTGTATCGCTACAGAACAAATGGTCCCGCCTAGGGAAAGAAACAATACTCCACAATCGTTGTCACAACCGTCCCTATACTTAACCATAGTCTCGACTGCGAGATATTAACGACCTTGACACAGCAACAGCCCATGATTTCGATGCGTAAATGACTTGTATCACCCAGCTATCTCTTCGGCCGGCCCAAACGACCTCCCATTGAGGATTCGTCTGGCCATACCTCACCCGGACAATTGCATGTTCTCCAGATTGGAGACGCAGAGTCTCGTCTTGGTGTACCGGCAGTCCAGACCCTCTCGCTATTTGGCCCAGTGCACATGACAATCATTTTTACATCGGTCATCCTCTCTAGACCTTCCCGCACGCACAATCGTGTTCCAGCTGCATGCACGAAGTCCATTCCCAACAGGACTTCCAAACTTTCGCCGATGTTTGCCAATAAAACATTCACAACATACACAACGTTCACCCCCAGCGTGATTTTTACCCTGGCCATGGCAGTGATATACGATTGAATTCCATCCAACCCGGCCACTTTGACCGGGTCCGCGAGCATCCGAACTTTCAGCTTGAGTCTTCGCGCAAGATCCAAGTTAATCATACTTCCAGACGCTCCTCAGTCAAGTAGAATCTTCGTTCGCTCATCAGTCACAGCTACGTATACAATAGCACCATCATGACTGTCATCCGTGTCATGATCCTCCCACCAACCACATCGTTGTCCAGGTCGTAGTGAAGCTCAACCGGACTTTCGCTTTCGGTCAGATCCGGTTGGACTTGAACACGCTCGATAGGATAATCTTGATTCATCGTCATGCACTGTTGGTTATCTGATATCTTGTTTGTCAACCCTCTTCCGACATACGTCCTCCGCATAATCCTTGGGATCGCTTAACCCCGGCACATACTGGATCCCCATCCAGCGGGCTAATTCGTTTAACGCCTTCTCTTGGTCGGCCTTCCCATCCAGCATTTTTTAGGATATCGGGAGGCACGCCTTTCAGAACGTCGTTCCGAGCGAGACTCTTCACAGTTTCCATGGTTTCGAAATAACAACACACTTGTCTTGGTGACAATTACCGCAGTAAGAGCACGATCAGGCCTAACAAGCATGACCCGGATTGCCATTCTTGCCACACCCTGCCAATACAGCAGTTGTGCTCCTTGTGTCCGAACTTTATACATTTCTTGCTGAACTCGTTCCGGTCTGGATTACTCAGCCGAGCTATTGCCATCTAGACTAGGATCCCGACTCGTGTGGTCTCCATTCGACATTCTCCATCGCACGATACACAGCACATATACTGTTCAGTAGGTGCCAGTTGAGTTCGGGGTTTGGTAGTTGTCCTCTTGGGCTTCCGCGTTCGACTGTCTTCAGCTCCATTTGAGGACTGAACTCTTCCACTTCGTCCTCGAAACGTACATGTCCTTCTGACTCCCACCCGGCTTCATCCTCACTGAGGCTCACGAATGCACGCCCCTTGGGTCGGTGTCGGCTGGACGGCATATTGTCCGCTCGGAAATCGCGCTTCTGGGATTACGAGCTGTCGTACCCGTCGACGACAGCATCTCTGTCTTGCTTCAGAACATATACGAAATCTTTTAAGTCCTTAAAACGCTGCTTGCGTAATACCACCTTCAACTAAGAGTCCTTCAGGTTCTTGAGGAAACGATTGATGAGCTCCTCTCGTTCCTTCTGTTACTTGTGGTACTTGATTCCCGCCTTGACAGCAGATTCGTTCAACCGGCAGAGGAAGTCCAATGTGCTTTCCGACTAGATCAGGGCCTTCCCATCGAACATGCCGAGCGTAGCGGAATTCACATATGGGCGGTTTGTCAACATCGTGGTTCCTGCCTCAGCTGCGGACGACAACGCCACTTGTGACGGGGTATCCTCGTCCAGGCTATCCTCGGAGCTGTCGCTTGGATCAACACTGCTTCCTCCGAACTTGAACTCCCACGTGGGTCGGACGGGTCTTCACCGCGTCGAGGCTACTTCTGCGATGACTTGGTGCGTTTAGACTTAGACGGCTTATTCTTCGGGTGGGGTTTCACATCCGTAGCATCGGTATGTCGGTGACTCCTTGCCAGGGCATCTTGTAGGCCCGAGCTCCTCGCGACGTGCTTTTGTCTTCACTCAGTTCGTGCTTTTGGTAAGTCTAGCGGAATTGGCTGCTGGCAGTGTCGCACACAACTGGTCGAGCTCTACCCCTGGAACGTTCTTCAAGACGAGTTCCGGCCGGACTTCAACCCCCTCTCTCATGCTTACGCCACGCGGGGCGGTTGCCTCTTGAGGGTAACTATTCGCAGTTGACTCAGCAGTTATTGGTGTGGGGGCGACTGTTGACACATCAACTTGAACTTTGGCAGATGTAGCCAGAAAGTTGTGTAACTGTCTCACGTGAAAATATTGGATGTTCTTTGCTGTTCTTTGGTCTTCCATGCCGGCGGCTTCTGCTTCTTGGGGCCTCCGCTTGAGTCATTCCATACTCTAACGGGTCTCAGCCTCCCAGAGTGCTAGCTCAGCTTGCATCCTCGTCTATGCATCCGCTTGCTGCTGCGGCACATATAGGGCTATAGTACCTCCAATACGCGTTTGTTCCGCCTGTTCGGTCTGGTTCGAAGCGGCCTGGACTTCTGCTTCACCATCCCATTGCGATTGGCGCGTCATCTTTCCTAGCGGTCCCGCAATAGGCGACAAACCTTTAGTCTCACCACCCTCTCCCATATGTGGTGAATCTAACTGGGGGTGAGCGGTAGAGATTCCAGACTTGGGGCGCCACATAAACCTTCTCATCCAGGAGCGCTACGGCTGAGCTGTTGCACCTGATAGAATGTTGATACCAAAGCTTCCGCTGCTCCGGACGAGATGGGTGATTCAGTTCGCTTGGACTTCTTCGATCGGTATGACCTTCGAGACTAGCCGAACCATCGTGACCGAGAACGTCTCCGCGACGGGCGTTTGGACGAAAGCCCATGAGAGCTCCGTCGTCGGCCATGACTATCCCTGCTAGCGTCGAGGCTGATTTGCTTGAAGTTGAATCTCGCCTGGACTTCCGCTGGTGCTTCCTTTCGCACTTCCGCGATCGGACTGGTCTGGTACTTGCTTCGAACGTAGCCTCTGTCATCGAGACATCTTGTGGATCGGGCAACGCAGGATGTTTGGACACCTCGCGCGTCATGTAGAATCCAAGCCCCCCTCCGGACATACCAGTCCCTGAAGCTTGGGTGGTCATTACCAGCTGGCCGACCCCGACCGAGGGCATATGCGATGACACACTGTGACCAAGTGTCGGTGACCCCGACGACCCAGTGCTGTTCCCGGACAAGTATGACACGAGCGTGTATGAACTTGACAGCATGCCATAAGGCGCCTCATCAGAGGTACCAACCAAGCTCGGGACAGGGTCCGAAGTTGTACCTCTGGATGCATCATCTCGGGCGGCCGTTGTCGCCGATGATAGTCGATATGGCAAAAAAACCAAGCAGATTCTCCGGCCGGGGTGGTCGGTGCTGTGGTCGCTTGGACAATGGTTTCCCAAAGGATGATCCCGTCGGACTTCGGATGGGGCGAAGACCTGCCATGCGTAACCGAAGGACGTAAGTCCGGCGAAACAGGTTGACGTCAGATATTATCAGGTCCCCGTCCTTATCTTCCGAGGTGGTAGTCCACCACTTGCGACGCCTTGTTCCTTGCTTGGTCTTCCAATGCCGGTCGGACCTTGAACGTAGCTCCATGATTAGCCGCCATGCAATAAGTTCTGCTGCGATCAAATGTTGGACATTCGTCACCAGATGTCGGATGGCTCCGGGGGCGACCTTCGCAGCGTGAGCTTGTAACCAGACCAGCACCAAGATCTGGAGCCGGAATCCCGCCTCGTATATCATCGTCTGCAGGATCGCGACACACTCCATCGGGGTGATCAGTCCTGTTGAGACTTGGACTTCAATCAGACCTTGAGCCGTTGCCAAGTCGTGACGACCCGGTGCCAGCTCGTGAATCTACAATTGGGCAGGGCCTTCCATAAAAGCTCGACGTCAAGTACTTCGACGTGGACAGTGCCACATTCATCCAGTCGACAGAGTCGGAATGACCTCGGGACCATGAATACTTCACGCGGAGTGGGAAGTCTTCTTCCGAGCGATCTTGCTCCCATC